ATATTACTTATATGGTAATTACCTGTTTTATATGTTGGGTAACTTATTGGGAGTAATTATGTTATCGATGTTAACTCCTATCATCAATATCAATATCAATATCAATATCAGATTGCAGCCCCAAAATGTGAGTACCACCATTATTGTCACTCTAAACCACCACCTTCTAAACAGTCAAAATCAGCACCACCATATCCTCCAACCACTGCTACGCCAACATAAAACCATAACTATCACGATGGAAAGCTTTAGAAACACAATAATGATTCCAATATGAAAATATTTGATGAATGGTAGTTGTGTTTGTTGCACGAAGTTTACGATGATAAAATTGGAGAAGCGATAAATGTTGAGAATGGTGAGTTTGGTGGCAATTGGATTGAGATTCCAGTAACGGTGGCGGTATAAGACAACAACAATGTGGGAGCTTTTTGGTACAATGGCGGAGAAGATAACGAGAGGAGGTCGTTGATTTGAGAATTTTGAATTGGGTGTGATACGTTGCGACAGTGATCCAACATTATTGGGGTGCTAGTTTGGAATAATGTTATTTATTATTATGATGACGGAACATCAATGATGTGGTAGTCTATATGAAATAATGGGATTGGACAGTCTAATTTTTATGAAAGAGGAGAGAGGAGATGTGGTCTCAAGAAAGAGAGAAATGTGAGAGATAATGGGTTGTCGTATCATTGATATTCCATCATCATGGTGATAAATAACATTACTCGCTAGTACAGTGTTTTGTTGGATAGGAATTTGACAAGAATGAAGGCATGTTTGAAACTTTTTAAATTAGAACTCTTTATTTCTCATATTCATTTTCATTCACACATTAAAATATTATGTAGTAAACAAAAAAAAAAATTCCTATATTTTAATCACATATTTTTCAAAAAATTACTATTTGAAACATCATTTTCCTCCAATTTCTATTTATAGTTTTCATCAAACAGGGGCTTAGAATAAGTTTATATATATATATATAGTTACAGGTAAAAATCTGTAAAACATAAAAGGGAGTTATTTTTTCAATTTTCGCAAGAAAAGTGAGTCTCCAACCTTAGAACATATCTAATGGACTTAAAGATTATATTTTAAAATTTAGAGATCATCTATAAATTTAGAGATTAAAACTCCAACTTACTCTTTACTTTAATACTTAATACTTAATTTACTACTTAATATGTATTTATTATTTTTCACATATATTTTATTTTCGCTAGCTTCCCTTCAAAGTATTTTATTATTTTCCTTCATTTTCTTTGTATATACTACTTAATTGGGTGCATTGAAATTGAAGTATTTTGGATTGGGAAAACTCAAACAAAGAGAAATAAGGTCAGACATTTCACATTTGAATAGTTGATTTGTGATTGTGACACTACCTACCTCATACGATGGAAATTTGCTTAAAATTACTTTTTTAATTGCCGTACAGTAAAAATGTAAAATTCAAGGAAGTAACTATCGTTTAATTTTCCACCACAATTGGAAATGACACGAAGAGTGGGGCCTTGAAGTTGTTTCTGACTCGTAGGAATACAAAAAAATTCGTTGGATACGAAACTTCGCTCATCCGTGTTATTTGTTTAGGCTGACTGTTTCAACTCAATTCTTTTCGTTTTCACAAGTCTTCATGAAATAAATCTAAGTCAACTGCCGTGTTCACTTTCACCCTGACTTACGTTGCGAGTGAATAAATTTATTGAATTTAGACAACCGCAGCAGAATTTGATTTCTCTATTCTTCTTCTTCTTCTTCTTCTTCTTCTTCTTCTTCTTTCTGTTCGTTGTTGAGTTAGGCTGGCATGGTTTTCTCCCGTAGGGCTGCTTCCAGTTTAGTTGTTTATGTCTTTCTGTTTCATATATATATCCTTCACTCGGTTGATTCTCAATGCCCAAGGCAGTTCCAATGTGGAAATCTTGGCAATTTGGAGTTTCCTCTGGCCAATTCTCCGGGATGTGGATTGTTACCGGTTGACTGCGGTGCTCTGCCGAATCCAATAATTCACCTGGATAATTATCCGTTTTCACCATCCTATGAGATTCTGAAAAAGTCATCTCCCAATGAATTATTTATTCGAAGTCCATTTCTTGAACGTGTTTTACATAATAAGGAAATATGCAATTTATTTCTTCGTCCCCCTATGCCACACTTTCCTTCTATTTCGATGTCGTTCTTCCCCAATATCACTCTCTTTAAATGCGCAAAATATATAAACTACGACAATGAGATACCTCAAGATATTTATGGAAACTACGATGGTTGTGATTCCTTCAATATATACTACCCCAAGTCGAATGGAAGTCTTCCGCCCCCCAAAGGCTGTTCAGCTCTTCCCTTGCCAAGCAATTTACAATGTAACTCAGATTCATTGGACTTGTTCTACCGGTTAAGCGCTGATTATCATCTAGAATGGAATGTGTCTGTAGATTGTCTTAATTGCCACAGAGGAGGAGGAAACTGTACAACTAAAACAGATAATGAATTTCGATGTGAAAAAGGTACCATCAGCCTTTGAACATGGGTGATCGCAAGTCATCCCTCTACAAATGTTCTTTTGATTTGTACTTTTGCCCGCAATCCAGAACAGGGTTCAAGCGATTTAAACTTTAAAACATATAGAATTGTTTGATTATATGTCACTGACAATTTATCACGTGATCGCTTTATGCCAATCCTCACGAGTACAGTTGATTATATCCTTCCCTTATATAGATATGTTCTTCATGCCTTGTTGCGGTTTTCATTTTTCTTTCTTCAATTGAGCTTGAACTGACATGTTTGCACGTTGACTATAGTTACAAAGAAAAGGAGGGATTTCAAGATGATTCTAGCCGCAGGTAAACGTGGTAAATTTCAGTAACATTTCTTTTGTTTTTTGATTAAAAAACGTAGTTGTCTTCTTTCATCACAGGTGTTTTAGCTGCAGCGGTAGTCCTCATCTTCATAATCTTGTTCACTTTCACTAGGAGGAATTACATGCTGAATTTGAAGGGGAAAACTCAAAACCAAAAGGACATTGAACTCTTCCTGAAGAACAACGAGAAGCTTACACCAAAAAGATACAACTATTCTGATCTTAAGAAAATGACTAACTCATTCAGTGACAAGTTAGGGAAAGGTGGCTTTGCTAGTGTTTATAAGGGAAAGTTACCCGATGCCCATCTTGTAGCAGTAAAGATTTTGGAAGAATCAAAAGGCAATGGAGAAGAATTTATCAATGAGGTAGCAAGTATCAGTAGAACTTCCCACGTTAATGTTGTCACTCTCCTGGGATTTTGCTTTGAGGGTTCCAAAAGAGCTCTCATTTACGAGTTCATGCCCAATGGATCCCTTGAGAAGTTCATATGCAGCAATATCTCCAAAGCAGAACGTCAATTAGAATGGGAAAAATTGTTTCAAATTGTAGTTGGCATTGCTCATGGAATAGAATACTTACACAAAGGATGTAATACACGGATTCTGCACTTTGACATAAAGCCTCATAACATTCTTCTTGATAAAGACTTCATCCCTAAAATATCGGATTTTGGCTTGGCTAAACTTTGTCCCAACAGGTCCAGTATAGTGTCAATGTTAGGGACTAGAGGAACAATAGGATATATTGCTCCAGAAATAGTTTATAGAAATGTTGGAGACATTTCTTACAAGTCAGATGTCTATAGCTATGGTATGATGGTTTTGGAAATGGTTGGAGAGACAAAAAATACTGATGTTAGAGTTGATCGTTCAAGTGAAAAATATTTTCCTGATTGGATCTATGAGCACCTCGAACAGAATTTTGAATTTGATTTTAACCGAGTTGTAAACGAAGATGAAGTTTTGAAAAAGAAAATGGTAATAGTTAGCTTATGGTGCATACAAACTGATCCTACAACTCGACCATCAATGAACAGGGTTATAGAAATGTTAGAAGGGAATGTGGAATCTCTTCAAATCCCACCAAAACCCTACTTTTTACAGCCAAGAGCAGCAGCAAATTTTTCAACTACTGAGTCGTCAGTCACTCTCTCCTAAGTTCATAAAGTTTAGCTTCCTGAAATCCCACGGTGTTTAGTGGCTCCGAGTTACCAAGCTATATAGGCAGTTACCTATGTTGTTTTTGCTATTGTAATTTTTATGCTCTAACACCTCCAATCTTAAGGTTTGTTAAATTTCTTCCTGGAGATCAAGCTTGGCGTTCATGAGTTTAATGTTTCTTTTTTTTTTCCTTCTTCTTCTTCTTCTTCTTCTTTTTTTTGGGAGCTTGATTACGGATATCATTCCAATTCCCAGGTACACCATGACTTCCACCCCTGGGTCTATAGTAAATAAAGTTTTCCCCATGGAAGATCTTGTAGGTTTCTGGCTTTGAGAATGAGGCTGTGAAGAAGTTGAAGCTTTTCTCTAAAGTTCAGTTTTTCGAATTTCTCCATGTTTTGCCCCTGTTTGGCTTACAATAAAATCAAATTTTTAGTATAATTTGATAAAAATTGATGGAACGTGTTATTAAAAAATTATCCACTCTTTCATCTGATCATCCCTCGGCAATTTCCTCTTCTCGATTTTTCATATAATCTTGAATCGCCACAGAATCATTCGATTTATTGGTTAGATTGCATGTGCATGTTGTTTGTAAAATATTTGATTAACTAGACAGTGAAACCCAAGGTCCCTAATTAAGTATGAATAATCTAAATAAACTGTCACCCCATACCAATAAGTTAATTAAATTAATGATTAACCAACATAAGTAGCCAATCAATGACTAGAAATATGCCATTTGTCCCCAACGACCTGTATCAAATTGGCGCACCTGACTCAACGTTCTAGAAGGTTAGGTGGGTGGAGTCGTGTTAGATGTAACTATCCAATAGACTATACACCACTAGTCTATATAGATAAAGGGTCAATATGCCCCTTCATATGAACCTTCAGGTGATTTATCCTCCGTCGATCTATGCCAATATTTTGAACAAGTTCATTCCCATCACAAAAGAAGCAAAACCAGATTTTGCAATATAACTACATTGCTTTATTCAATATAAAACCAAGTCAAACTCAATCTAATCACAAATTTTCTGATGATACAAAATACAATGAAGATACTCTATTCTTGTATTATAAATTTGCCGACTCCACTTAATGACATTCTTCATTTTCCTGTTCACTAAACAAGTTTCTTAGAACAAAATATCTTTCGTAAACAATATAATAAAGCTATGGCAACTACAGCTCCAGCTCCTAAGAACTTGGCTGTTGGAAGATGAAGTTTTTTTGAGGATACAGCATTACATAGATATGCCCAAGCCCATCGTGACAGGAAATGTAGCTTGCAAGTCGCCTGAAACTTTTGTAGGGAAAATTCCTATACATGGCAACGCAGAGGGGAGTTCGAGGTCAAGTGGACAGAGATAAAGGAGAATAGTTAAACTGAAACTAAACACAAGCAAGAAAATATAAAACCATAGTTAGTAGTAAGCTGTGCAATTGCTGGGATTTTTCTCTATGTAATATTTCAATACAAAAAAATCACAGGGAAGTCGTCCAACCTAAGATAGTTTTGGTAAGTTCTTAAAGGAGAAGCTTTCCTCGTGGGCTCATATTTTAGCCACATTTCCAGCAAACTTAGCAAGACTGCTATTGAAATTTTCTAGAGAGAAATCTCAGAGGAAAGATAGGATTTCTACTGTAATAAGCCAAGTATCAGTGCAAAGACAGCAGATTTTTTTACTTTCTGCCATTATAATTTACATAGAACAAAAGCATACACATACAAAAATGCAAAATAGGACATGAAAAATAATGTATGCAAAATAGGACATGCAAAAATTAGAGAAGACAGGTAGACGAGTGCTACCTTTGGGAATTTATCCTGCTGAGCTAGATGATCCACATGGAGTCTGACATTTGATGCGGCAGGAAGCCAGAGATTGCTATCAACATCAGCATACGTATATGCAACAATGTCAAATAACGATTTCCCTCCACCTTTTATAGCTTTCAAGATTGTAGATTCTCTATTTCTGCGGTTTCTGAAATTTTTAAGAATACAGCATAAGCATAAATAGCAAAACAAATCATGTACCTATGCAAGTACCATTAGTATTGTAGGTAATTTATTCAAAGTGTTAAAAAACATTTCTCAATCACATAGTACTGAATAATGGAGTAATCTTTAAAAAATTTTAAGCCACTGAAATCTATTACTGAAGGACGAGCTTCTCTTACTTGAGGTATCCGCAAAGTATGTGTTTCGGCCACATGTTGACTCTACCATGCATGGGAATCAACACATGTGGGGAAAGATTTATAAATTTGTAAGTTGTGCGGAAATAATCCTGTAGAAGAAGTCAAAATTTTAAAATAAGATCTCCAGTAAAGGAGAATAATAATCAAAACGACCTTGCTCCTCTTAGGATATTAAAAAATAAAATAGACATGAAAGCCCATGGTCCTACAGCTACTTGTGAGTGGGGGTTATATGAGAACATTAATCCCCTGTTTGGGCTCCATTAAAATGTTAATGCGTTTATCTCTTTCTTCTTTTTAACAACACGTTTTTTAATAAAATAGTATTATACGTAAATCCAAAACTTTTCCTTTCATTTTAACCACACATTCTTCAAAAAGTTACAATTCCAAAATGTAATTTCACCAAAACCTCATTAGCCCAAACAAGGGCTAAGTGAGCCTTCACTAGTTCATCAGAGAAGATAAGAATAACAGTAACCAGAACGACTACCAAAAATGGAAAGAAAACTAATTAACAGGTGCAGTAATTATGATTGCATCCTATGTAATTCTTTTATATCCATTTTACAATTATTTAGGGATGAGAACACCTCCATCATAATTTTCTACACAAAACAAATAAAAAATAAAAAATAAAAAAAATGAAAAGACTGTTAAAACAAAGTGAAAATTCTGGATGCAGATTATATTTTCAAATGCTTACCATCAACATGATCATGATGATGATGGCTTACACATCAACTTCTGTGGAAGTACAGCAATGATTTGTTCAAGCTGACAGTGCAAGAGAAAGCAGAACAAATGGCATGATTAATAGTAATTGGGCAAACATTCATAGCATCAAATAAAAGATTGATTTAGTTACAATGTTTTTATGAAATAGCAATGCTCGTTACTAACTAAAAGTAATATCTATGGCCACTCTGCAAAGTTCTCTTCCGATGACAGTTTAAGGTGAACAACAGAATGCGAATACAGTAACTGATTCAATCAAGGTAATATTTCCTTTGGTAACTCACTTGAAACACAAGCAAATGCTGAATTGGGAAAATATATTACTATCATTATTGTGCATTTTACTTTATAAATTGAACCACTCTGAAACCAAAGAAAAATAGCTGACTTAAAAACGATTACTACGTAACTGAATTGATCCTTGAATTTCTCAAGCAGGCACCGAGTTCACAATTCAAAAATAATCATCGCAGCCATCATAACTAGTCCCAGGAAAAAATACAACTAAGTTTGTAGTGTGGAAAGGCTTTGCTGTTCTGCTTCCCATGGGAATAAGTTTGACACCTAGAGGATACTCCTGCATAATAAGAAGGATACCACTTCCTTGAAGAACAGTGATTTTATTTAAGCAATATAAACAAAACATCAACATCAACATCAACAAAGTGAAATTGCATGTACATATTTAAGTCTGACTAAAATTTCAGCCATTAAAGAAAATTGAATCGCTCCAGACGCTTTTGAGTTTATAGTTGAACGACAGAAAATGTCAAGAGACAAGATTTGGACTTATCTCGAGCAAGATTTTTACAAATATCTGAACTTTTCTAAGTTAATGACATGTAATTTAGGATAAGCATAATTGAGTGAAGCATGATGTGTATAACATAGAACTCTGTAGAGTCCATATCCCACATAGACACTAAGCCAGTGCAAATGCTTCTACTATTCTAGTTGTTCATGTAACCCATTAAAACCTTAAGCGACAGTTGAAAGTAAGGGCTTTGGTTCAGGCCTGCATTAGTTTCTAAAAAATAAAGTTCCAACACTAGGATTGGAAACAATGAAATTCTCCGGCTGCAATCAGTTTTCCAATGCCTATGCCACCATCAATAATTGTGTCACATATAAGATAATTATTGACTATTTATCCCAGATCACGACCACTGCATCAAAAAAGATAATTAATAAGAAGAGAAAGGGAAAAGATGCTGAGGACCTGATGGCAAAATATTCCAATCTTGACATTTTCCACATTGCAGAGATTGGAGTGATAACTGAAACTTGCTTTCCATTATCTCTTATTTGCAAAGTCCAAGTTCCCACAGCAAACAACATGACAGGGGATTTTAATCCAATAGTAGGATGATTGAACTATGAAAACAAATATTATAGGACTTGAATTATTGAAAAATCAGTTTTCTTAAAGATCGGGTTGGTTTTCAATCCAACATTATCATTACCCAAGCTCATAAAGGTCCATACTGGAAATTGGGGGGGGGGGGGTATTATGATACGGAGATTGATTTAGCTCACAGAACCCAATCAATACCGCAAAAAACAAACCTGACATCTCAAAGTGGAAGAGATTTGCAATTTTACAGATTTCATTGAATCATTCAGATAACCAATAAAAATTAGTGGTCCTATACGATCATTATGAGGCTTCACTTCAATAAGCATATCATTGCAGCCTTTGGAGCTCATCCACTTACAGATATCTGCATGTACGTACAACATAAATTATTTAAGCCTCAAAGAAATGACTAACTATCAATGAAAGCATTTATAGATAATTCTCTTTTCTATTCAGAAGAAAGTCTCTTTTTATGAAACTAAAAGATGTGTTATAAAAATGTTAAAAAAATACTTTATAGAGGCAATATTGCAAATCCAACATGCCCTATACATGATAGCCAGCAATTATTTACTTTATAAGATGAAAGCAATAAAATCACATTTTATTGTTGCCTAAGCCGGTTGTCGCAAGCACTTAGTAAAGTTGTGTTTATGAGTCTAAATGAAATTGAAGTGATATATTGTCATTAAATGAAGAATTAGCTCCATCAAAAGAAGGTTTAAATATTTTTTTTCCGATAAATGTAGAATAAAAAGGAGTTTATCTTTATAAACCCCAGCAAAATGGTGCATGGAATCGTACAAATTTACGCTCTTAAAATCCCTGATATCGGGAAATTGCTGTCAAATGTATCTACAATAACATGATCAGACCTTTTAATTTCCCATCATGGGGTCCCAATTTTCCAACAAGATACATAATCTTAAATGGGATTCCAGGACCAAATTCAGGCTCTTCTACATACTTCAAAAACTTCCACTTTACCTCACTGGCTGTCCCAAGTACCACTTGATTCAGCACCTATACCAAAGTCATTAAAAATAAATATAACAGACCAACACTATCTACATATGATTTTCAGGACTTGTAATGTATTCTCAATAACTACTAGTGGTACTAACTCCAACATATACAAACAAGAAAAATAAGTATGAAAATCCAGAATTTTTTTAACATACTCAGAAAAAAATATTCAGCAATAGCAAACAAAATTTTCTAAGAGGAACGGACCATGATATATAATCAAAGCCATCCAATTACTATGAGGACAAAACTTTTTTTGATATGACAAGGGAAAGGAAATGAAAAACACGGTGGACTCAGACCAATACAGGGAGCTAATAAATTGTTCTTTTATCATCATTCATCAGCAGTCTGTTTCAGATGAGAAAATACAGGTTGCAAATAATCAGTTTAAACATGATCAGTCTTATATGAGATTAAAAATGAGCACATTCTTTCCCTTTATATAAGGAAAAGGAAAATACATGATAACCTAATTGAATTAAGTCTCAGTAAATTCAACATAACCATTTGAAATTTCAGTAAAGAAATACCAGATTTTTTGAATAAATTACATATGGAACCTCCCTAAAATGGGGACCTAGATGTACTTTTAAAAGTGTTCCATATCGGGCTCATCTCAGCCTCTTCTCGTACTCGTTTGTTTTCATGAACTAGCCAAATTATTTTATTACTTTGACAGCTAATGTGTTCAAAATTTTAACTTGTCTAGGATGGAGCACTGTGCATATTCGGCTCAAATGAACTAGAATGATCCAAGCTTGTGTTGAAGATTTGTCGTTCAAAATCAACAATTAATGTGTATGGAACGAAAATGGGGAGTTAGGCTAAAAATTGGGCCCAAGATACTACCATACGACCGCATGGTTATCTTGTCCATGCGGTCGCATGGCCATTTACCGAGGCCAAAGGGCCTCGGTTGGTTTGAACCACGTGACCGCATGGTACAATCTTTTGGCCGTTGGAGGCCGTTTTCTCCCGTTGAAAATTTAAATTTGGTGACTTTTGGCTTATAGTTTGGTATCATTTCGTGAATGGGGTGTAGGCCTATATATATTGGATCAAGGTTGAAGGCAAATACATCATCAAAAAATCAAGGTTCCATATTACTTCCAAAATCAAAGATAAAGTCTTTTAAATCCATATTCAATATTCATCCCTTATGTTCTTCAAGTTTTCTAAGATTTGCACTTGTGCTTTGGTGCTTAAATCCTTGCAAGACTTGTTATAATCTTGTAAATCATTTGCCAACAACCTTCGAAGCATCTCAAATTCATAGGAGAAGGGACAAAAATCATTTGAGGACAACGATATCGTGTTCAAGCTATTCATTGATACAAGTTCGTGATTGTTTTGTTATTAGTGTTGTCGGTTTGTGTTTCGTGATTTCTACTCTAACCCAGTAAAATTTCTACAAGAGCTTGCTTAGTAAGTATGTTGACAATCATTTTGAACCTAATATAGGGGGCAATTTCCCCTCCCCAACCACTCTTTTAAGGCTCAAACTAAAAGGTAGAGTTGAACCTCAACAATTAGGTTGCGTTTGCTTGACACATTATATTATTGTCATATTTCAGCGTAGCATATAATTAGAGTTAATTTCGAAATGACGTTCAATAATAAACAGGACCTCTGCAAATCCTAAGCCAAAGTAAAGGATGAATGTGTTGTGCTAGGAATCAAATTTTATTTTATGGGAAATGGGAAAGACAGACCATTAGTAACGATTGTGTTACACCCCTCACCAACTACCTCCGCGCATCAAGTCCACTAACCTCGGCGCGTCAGATCCACTCTCCAACGAGGTGCCACGTGTCAATTCGAGACGTCACCAAAGTGATATACACCTCACCCGAACCTCAAGCTGACGTGCTGTGAGGCACAGACACTACCTAAGTGATATTTTTCGAGGCGTCCTTTGATACCGAAGTGTGAGGAGACGAGGCTCCTTCGCCGCCAGTTTTAGAGATGTATCAGT